CGCCTCGGTGGGTGCCGGCACGGGTGCTTTCTGCTGCTGGCTGCTGGCCGGTGGCTGGTGCCGTGGGGAACCGGTGGGCGGTTGCTTTGGGGTAGGCATCAGCATGGGGGCAGGGTCGCCGAGGCTGCCTTCAAGCAGCCGCTGAGTTTGGCAGTTCAAGCACAGCCATTCGTTCTTCTGCAAAACAGAGAAAGGGAAAGTTGTGTTCAAACTCGGGGAAGCAGGGACCTCACCGAGAAGTTCAGCTGATGGCACACCCGGCGACGGTGCAAAAGGACTCAGCCCAGCCAAACCAAATAACCGGCTTTGGAGACGCCAGGCGGTGAGCAGGCAAGCACCGAAACGCCGGTGCGGGCTGCGGAGGGGCTCACACGGCGCTGGAGCAGTACCGTACAAACCATCTAGAAGAAGAGACCAACCACCCAGCTTAAAACCACTCTTACCCTCATCCAGACCTCAGTGATGTTCAGCCAGAGGGACCACGGCTGTGACACGGGGATTTCATGCTCTCCCCCACACCACCTCAGCATCACCAGCTATGTTCATCTCCAGTCTTGCCAGTATTTCAGTTTTAAATGAAATTAAACAATGAGGGCAGATTACTGCCGTAGCTTAACACTTGTCGGGCTCCATACAGTTTCTTTCTCGCTCTGATTTGTTTTCCTCGATACAATAAAGGTTTAATAGCATAATCATAATACTTAAGTATCTTTTTTTTTCCCCTAGGTTATCAGAAAATACTGGGTACACAAGTACGTGAAAAATATCCCAAAGATATTACCCAAAGTACACGCTGTGCGGGAAAAGAACAAGACAATCTTGTCTAGTGAAATTCTCAGCAAGAGCCGTTATTTTATGGCCTGGAAAAAGCAGCTTGCGAGCGGGGCGGTGAGTGGCAGAGAGCCCGCGGGGCTGCGGCAGGGGCTCTGCATTAAGACACCAGAAGCACTTTCCCCCCTGAGGTCATCCAAGGGCTATTTTTATCCACCCAGGAATGTCCAGGAATAGGGACCTGACATTTCCTTCCCTTTTGATGTTTCATCGTCTTAAGTCTCTTCAGTTTGCTGCTAACAGCCTGATACGCTCCAAGTCCTTTCCCCCAGACTCCTCTTTTGACCATCTGTTGCTCACAAAGCTCGAGGTGGCCAACCTCAGGGGGCAGCTGGCCCCAGTGAAGCTGTCACACTGTTGGTGTGGTGGCCAAGGTGGCCTTGGTCTTCAGCTGGACCAGCCTGGGACCAGGGCTGCAAGCCAGCCATGTCCTCTGGGGCCACAGAGGCCATGGTCTCCATGTAGAAGGTGGGGTTCACCAAAATGGCCTTGAGGAAACGGCCTCAAGTTGCGCCAGGGGAAGTTTAGTTTGGATATTAGGAAAAATCTCTTCCCCAGAAGGGCTGTCAAGGATCGGAACAGGCTGCTCAGGGAAGCGGTTGAGTCACCATCCCTGGAGGTATTTAAAAGACATGCAGATGTAGTGCTGAGGGACATGGTTTAGTGGTGGACTTGGCAGTGTTAGGTTAATGGTTGGACTTGATCTTAAGGGTCTTTTCCAACCTAAATGATTCTATGATTCTATTCTGCGACTCTAAAAACCACCCCTGTGAGACAGCAGCAGCATGACGGGCTGGGCCCCTGCGTCCAACGCCCAGGAGTCCTTGCGTTTTGAGGAGATGCTGGAGATGCTTTGCAGCTGGTGGTGGCTGGGATTAGTGGGCTTCCCCACGGACACTTCTTCACTCAGGTGGTAATCTGGACCAGGAGCCACCATCCAGCTCATGCAGAAGCGCAGGAGGGCTTCTTCTGAGGGGAAGGGACATGCAACATCCTCCCTCCCACCTCCACCACCCTGCAGCAGCCCCTGCTCTTCACACAAACACCTTAAGAATACATTAGGGCTTCAGAGGGCTGTAAAAAAAAAATCCCTTTCAGCATGGTAATATTTAATTACTGCTTAATCAAAGAGAAAGTCTAATTAAGGGGCAAGTGCAGCCTATTGTATCTTAATGATTGCATTTGTCTTCTTTTATTTCGGAACTCGCTCTCATCCCTGTGCCTCTGAATCAGATCTCCTCGCCCCGGCTCCGCCGTGTAATTATTTCAGACTGCAGAAGGAAATGTGATTGCGTGACACAAAATTGAATTCCTGCCTCATGGAAAAACATGGCCTTTCATTTTTCTTTCAGGAATCCCATTTTTCTTCGCCAGAGCTCCCTCCCCGATGCTAGTGGTGAGGGGGAGGCGCGAGGCAAAGGGGATGGGCCGGCTGTGCTGGGCTCCTTCCCGTCCCTCTCTTGCCATGCCATCGTGCCAGCTCCCAGCTCGGTCCTGCAGGAACCAGGGAAGATCAGCCCACCTTAAACAACCTTTCCAGCCTGCCCCATGGTGGCTGGAAAGCTCTGGATGAGGGGATGGACACAGCTGCTTTTGCCCTTCCAGGGCAAAATTCAAGCTAAGGATGACCATGGAAGGCCAACGCTGGCCACCAGGTGCCAACTGTGGATCCCGAGTGCCAGTCAGGTCCCGTTCTAGGAGGTGGCTCTTGTGCCCATGGAGAGGCAGGGGTCACACACGCTCTGGCTAGTACCCTCCTGGGACAACCACGATGGCAGGACACCCTCCAAAAGGTGTAGCCTCCCAGACAGGTACGGTCCTTTTGTCTAGGTTTGCCTGGGAACAGACGTACGCGCTTTGCAAGAGCAGAGGTGCAGGGTGGACATGAGGAAAAGTTCCTTTGCTGAGGCAGTGGTGCAGCCCGGGACAGTCTCCGTGGCATCTCCATCCTTGGCGGGGGTTCAAGACTTTGCTAGACAACGCCCCTTGTGCTGGTGGCTGCCCTGCTCTGTGTGGGAGGCTGGGCTGGAGACCCCACACTCCCCCACCAGCACCTCCCCGAGTCCATGCAGCCAAGGGACACCACCACGGCACAAGGCAGGCACCAGCAGAGAGGACCTGCTGGTGTCATCTCATAGGGATGAGGCTTAGGGGTCCTCTAAGACCAGGTGAGCACAGGACTGATCTGTGCCATGGGGATCTGATGGCTCTGCAGATCGGCCTGAGCATCCTCCCTCAGGCTGCTCCCAGCTGCGGCTCCGGAGCCGCTCCTCTCGGCAGCTGCCCCACTTTGAGCAGCTCACCCTGCCATCCCGCTCTCACAGATGTGACAGCTCGATTCTTCACGGGACCTCACCGGGAAGCGGATATGGGAACGATCTCTGGTAAAAACAGACCCGCCAAGAAGATTGTGGAGCTCCGCTCCAAAATGCCCCTAGCCTTTCACCGCAGGCAGAAAGGCTGAGATACTGTCCTGGTTTCAGCTGGGATGGAGTTAATTTTCTTTCTAGCGGTTGCTGTGTTTCAGATGTGGTACCAAAGGGATGTCAATAATGCATATTGTTCTAGCTGTTGCCAGGTGGTGTTTATATTTTTCAAGGACTTTTTTTCAGCTTCCCACAGAAGCTGATAAGGAGCACAGACAGAAGGATGGAATATTCCGTACCATAGACATCGCGCTCAGTATACAAATGGGGGTTGGCCGGGCGGGGGGGTGGTACTCACCATGACAGCTCAGGATTCACCGAGTGGTGAGAGTGACTTTTGTCATTATTATTATTGTTATTTTCCTTTCCTGTTATTGTTGTAATAAACTGCCTTTATCTCAACCCATGAGTTTTTTTCCCCTCCTTTTCTCTTCTTGGGGAGGAAGGGGGAGAACTGGGCGAGCGGCTGCCCGGTCCTGGCTGCCGGCTGGGGTTAAACCACGCCAGGTAAGGCAGAAATTGGGGAAGGTCGCAGGTGGAGCTGGACCTGAGCCTTCACCCGCTGCGAGAGGTGCCGGCCAAGCCCTGGGAGACACCCAAGACAAGAGACGGGCATATATGGAGTTTGCATTTTCCCTTCCTGGCTTTCCTTTCAGCACGCCAGGGGTCTCCCGCGCCGTGAACCTCCAAGGAAAATCACTCTGCGGTTACAGCCTCAGATGGCACAAACCCCAGGGAAGGGATAACTGATTTCTCCCGAGCCCCTGGGAGAGCCCTCGGCCTCGTCAGCAGCTGGAGCTGCTGCGTATGCTGCGAGCCCAGGCTGTGCCGCAGCAGCCAGCACAGCGTTTGCCACAGCATCCCGACGCTTGCTGCAGCGAATGCCTCCAGCAGCAGGAGCTGCACGCTGCCCGGCTCCTACACGGGCACGGGGCGGCGTGAAATCCTGCCCTTGGCAGCTGCGGGGAGATGGAGGCAAAGCAAAGCCGCCCGTGCTGGGCGCGAACATCTCTGGCAAACCTCCCTGAGCTCTCAGACCCCCGTCTTTAAGAGACCCCACTGCAGCCCCATCAACACCCGGCGCCGATACCCGTCACGCTGCTGGATGCTGAAAAAACGGAGCTCAGTGACGATGCTGCACCTGAGGCATCCCACAGCCCCGCGCTCTGCCGGTGACAAACGGCCCATCCCTCTCCCGCCGTCCCACAGCGTTATCAGCTCAGTGCCCAGTTATCCCGCAGCGTTATCAGCTCAGTGCCCAGTTATCCCGCAGCGTTATCAGCTCAGTGCCCGGTTATCCCGCAGCACCTCTGCTCCCGCTCAGGGATCGGCTCTGGCGCAGCTCCCCCGTACCTATCACTTGGTCACGGGCACATCCCAGCTCACGCGGCCAACGGCATTAAGCCGCCCCTGAGAAAAATGCAAACATTCAACGACCGGCTGATTTGCTGACAGCTTGTAAATCCCCGCCGAGATTAACCAGATCCCATAAAGATAATAATAATTAGGCTGTATTTAGTGCTTTGCATGTCCAAACCGTGGGATGCCCAGGAAGTCAGGGTGCCCCTCGCCGGGGCGGTAAGCGGGTAAGGAGCTTACGGCGAAGGCACGGCGGCGCCTGTCTGAGTCTCTGTGCTTAAAGATGCTGGAAACCACCGCCCCAATCAGGATGGGGATGGGGGCTTGCTCGATGCCAAAATCTGCTGCACCGTGGTGGCAGGCACGGGGGGGGGGTAACTGCACGGAGAGCAGGCGATGGGGAGCCGGGGTACGGGCAACGCCGCCTGGGATGCAGAGCGGGCTCCAGGCGAAGGAAAGCATCGATAATTAAAGAGAGGGATGAAACTAAAGCACGCCTGAGATGTTATCAGCTTACACCCCTGGGAGGATGACCACCTCGGGCTCCCAGCCTTCCTCGTC